GGAACTTATCCTTATCTAGATAGTTTTTGACTTATCGTCCAAGGTGTGATTGCGTAGAGTCTAGACATGAAGATACCACGACTTTCAGCTGTGGTGCAGACTTGGTTTGTGCACTGCTGTTTGGTTGTTTGGTTATTTAGTAAGAATAGATACAGTCGTGGTTCCGTTATAGGAGGGTCGAAATCGGTTGTCACGGACTCGATCCGCTACACGTAAGTAGGGTTTGACTACACATTTATTTATTTTTCTCCATCATTGGACTCTGTCGTCTGCCCCTCTGGCCCCTATCCTCCACTTCTACTAGCTAGACGACGCAACCGGGGTCACACAGGAGGGGGGGGTTGGACCCTCTCCTGCGGTTCCTGCCTGAGATATTTTTATCGCGAGAAGGGTACAGCAATCCCTTCCCTCGCGACCTACGAAGTCGAGTATGGTTTACTAACAACGAGCTTTGCAGCGCGTCGCTTTCATCCTAGACCAGGATTTATCTAGTGAGAAAAAACTCACGCTGCCTGGACTCGAACCCATGACCTGGCCCTTAGCAGGCTGCGAGGGTACCCACTAGACCACCGGGGCGACATATGTAGACCGGACCCTTCGTAGTGGGGTCACCCCACAATTGAGGGGGTTTACCGCAGGACTTGTAAGTTAGGGGCTGTCGCCGATGTGTGGCTCCCCCGGCCTTTCACTCACACACAGACACACCTTCGTCACAACAAACGCCGCAGTAGGAATAGTCTAGACCAGAGAGGAGCTGCCAAAGAAGAAATATATTTTACTGAAACTGGTGGTATTTGCAAGTAGGATGATGCAACGATGATGAAAGCACTCCGAGACGAACACGTGTGCGAAATAGCAGCCATGGGTAAACACGTGCAGGTTTCTTCTATTGCCATCGTCTCTATCTTTCATCTGGAGAGTAGCTTAGCCTCCCCCATGGCGCCCCCTCATGGAGCCCCGGTCCTGGCCTCTGAAGCACTTTCTGTGTTGTGCTCACTGAGGCTGACGTGTTTTCATCGGTTACCTGCCTAGCGAGGTCGATGTTAACAATAGGGGTGAAGCAAAAGACACACGAACACACATTCATCGCGGCGCCAAGTAGAAGCCCGGGGCTGTTTGTATAACCGCAAGAAATTCGTTCCTTTCAGCATATGGTTCAAAACCTGCACCGCATGTTTGTGGTACTTGGATATGAGTCCGATCTGTGCATCCTCTGTGGGGGATCCGCGTGTGGGAACTACCGGTATGTGTGTGATGGGTATGTATGCGGTTGAGGTCCAAGTGCGGAGCCTCCGGGTGAGCACACGGCGGTGTGCTCGCGGCACTTGCCTGAGGGGCTTGCGTGTTGGTTACCAGCTTGCCTGAGGGGCGTGCGTGACGGATATATGTAATACATGGTCCTTTTTCATCTGCTGTTCCTGGGATAACATAGTACCCAGTCTCAATACCACAGACCGCTGAAGGCGGCAGTGCACACTAACACGATATCGAGTGGAGCCTAGCTAGGCCAGGTGTTGGTTCAGCGATGACGAAAACACGAGAGAAAGAATGAGAAGAAGAAATGGAAAAGATAAAGCAGGAAGCCGAAAGTGCAGCCGAGCGTGCAGCGGGGGAAGCGGCAGCCGCGGCAGCCAAGATGGCGGATCTGCAGAGGAGAGTTTAGGAGGCAGAGGAGAGGAGTTCAGCGGAGGACGCTACTAGAGTTAGGGTGGGTGATGCCGGGTATGCGGCAGGTAATACTTATGAGGATAAGCGGCGCTGGCAATGCGCCTGGGTACCATCGCAGGGATGGAGCTGCCGGAGGGGCGGCTACTTTGCAGCCGGGGGGACGGCTAGTTTTTTCGATGATCGGGAGCAGCAGCAGCGTGACCGCGATTACGTGCGGGAGGACCGGAAGCCACCGGTGTACGACGGCAACTTCCCACTGTTTAAGTCGCTGTTCGAGCTCTTCCTCGCCCGCGAAGATTTATCACACACACTCGCCAAGCCGGCGAGTCCAGACCAAAGCATCTGGCTCCTCAACGGGCTGCCAAGGAACGAAAACGTCCGCTTGCACGGTGAGCGTCGCGTGCGCAATCATGAGTATGCGTTTGAGTATTTGATGCGCGCCGCGAAGGAGGCAAACTTTCAGGCTAAAATCCTTGCCGTTGAGACTGTGTCTGGGGCGTGGGAGGCTGCACAACAGTTCTGCCTGCCGATGAGTGACTCCGAGCAGGAGGCACTGAAGCTGACTCTCACGAACATTAAGATGCAGCTTGGAAGGAACCCAAAGGAGTAGTTTCTTAGGTTCGACAGAGCGTTGTCTACTCTCCGCGCCGTCATCGGCGATGCGATGACGGATAGAGAAGTCCTCGCGATGCTTCGAAGGAACCTCTCCGCCGACTACGAACAGCTCCACGTTCTCTTCATGGCCAAGAGTTCGCTCACGCGCAAGGACTTGGAGAATCTTGTGCGTAGCCTGTACGCCGAGAGAGACCTCGGGAATGTTGCGCGGCGGACGGCAGCGCCGACCGGTGACCCTCATGCTCGTCATGTCGGCGGTGGAAATTTTCGGCGGGACTGTTGGGGAGGTTTTTCTTGTCGACAGCAGCATGGTCTACAGCAGTCCTGCGGAGCTGTTCCAGTACAGCAACCGTTCCAGCAGCAGTGGAGGTATAGCGTGTTTGGCAGAGGGTTTTCTTTTAAGCAGCAGCGGCAACAACCGTGCGTGCAGCAGAGGTTCGTGCCACAGCCATCGGTGCAGCAGCAGCCCATGCCACAGCAGCAGCCTCGTCAACAGCAGCAACCTCTACGGTCCTGCAACGGCGCTCCTGGTACAGCTCCAGCTTTCGCCCGCAGACGGTTTCAGCAGCTGCGGAGGAACGGCGAGTTTGGCGGCGGGTCTGTGTGTCGGCAGCAGCAGCAGCAGCAGCAGCAGCAGCAGCAGCAGCAGCCAGGCGTGGTGTACGGCGGTGACTCTCAGCAACAGCCGCGGCAATAACAGCTAGCGGACGGCTTCACCGGGAGTGCAGGTGGACAGGTGCGTGGTGGGGTGTTCGTCGGTGAGGAGGAAGGGGGGGGCTGCTGCCGGTTCGTCTGCGGCGTAGTTGCCGGTAAAAGCCTCCGCCAACGTAGCTTCTCTCAACGTATACACACACTCCGCCACTCGCTCTCCCCAGCGGCCCGCGACATCACGTGTAGCACCTGCAGTAGTGCGGCAACGCGATGAGCTGAATCTCATGGAGGGCGGATACAGCAATGGACGTGTAGCGGAGGAACACATGATTGGATCGTATCACGTTGTTGTAGTTTCACCTTCCGCGGACAACAACCCACGCATTCGTTCAAAACGGCAGTAGCAGCAGCGGCATCCCCGGTCGCCGCGTTGGCAATGGGTATACAGACGGCCGCAGGGGCGGCGGCGGCGGCAGCATCGGCAGGAGCGGCGGCGGCGCGGACGGGTTCGGCCAGAGCGCCGTCACCGACAGCAGCATCGGCGGGAGCGGAGGTGGTGCGGACGGCTTCGGCCAGAGCGCCGTCCCCGACAGCACCATCGGCGGTGGCGGCATCGGTGACGGGGGGAACGGCAGCAGCAGCAGTAGCGGAGTCCCCGGTCGCTGCGTTGGCGTCGGGTATCCAGACGGCCGCAGCGGCGGCGGTAGTGACATCGATGATGGGGGTAACGGCAACGGCGATAGCAGCAGCGGCGTCCCCGGTCGCCGCATTGGCGTCGGGTGTCCAGACGGCCGCAGGGGCGGCGGTGGCGGCACCGGTGACGGAGGTATGTGACGACGAGTTGGAGGATGCGGTTGGTGCGACAACCATGCCATTGCCAGTCCTCGAGGAGCTTGATATCCAATGTGCTGGGGGGGACGTGAGCAACAGCAGCATCAGCAGCAGCAGTAGCAGCAGCTGCAGCAGCGAGGACAGCGGCGGCGATGAGAGCGGGGACGAGGGGTTGGATGAAACCTGGAGTGGAGCCCCGACGCACCCCTTCGACCCGGGTACGACATCTTCGCGTGGCGCGAGGAGACGGGGGGCGGTACCAGGGGTGACGTACCCCTTCGATAGGGGCAGGAACGGAAGTGGCAGCTCCGGCGGCGGTAACGGCGGCACCGGCGGCAACCGCAGCAGCGACGGGAGTGGCGGAGCTCCGACGGCAGCAGAAGACGGCAGCGGCGACTTTGGCCAGAGCCCCGTCGGCAGCAGCGGCGACAACGGCGGCGGTAGTAGGGCGGCAGCAGTGACGTCACTGGCAGCCGTGTTGGTGCTGGAACTCATGACGGTCGTGGCGGCGGGGAACGGCAACGGCGGTGATGGCAGCGGCGGCAGCAGCGGTGGCGCCCTTGAGTCGACCGGGAACGGGGAGGACACGGCGACAGCGACGATNCGGAGCTCCGACGGCAGCAGAAGACGGCAGCGGCGACTTTGGCCAGAGCCCCGTCGGCAGCAGCGGCGACAACGGCGGCGGTAGTAGGGCGGCAGCAGTGACGTCACTGGCAGCCGTGTTGGTGCTGGAACTCATGACGGTCGTGGCGGCGGGGAACGGCAACGGCGGTGATGGCAGCGGCGGCAGCAGCGGTGGCGCCCTTGAGTCGACCGGGAACGGGGAGGACACGGCGACAGCGACGATCTCACCTTGTTACAGCCAAGTGGGAGAACATGTGAAACGTTTACGACTTTGTTCGTTTTTGTGAGCAGGCATGTACGTTTTAGCTTCGCATTTATTTTTTGTTCTGGATTTCCCTTGCTAGCGCACCGTGCACTTTGACGCAGAAAACACGTGTATGCCACGGCGTGTGCGTAGACTAAGTTGTTTTCTTTTGTACTTGGTTTCATGATAACAATTGTACGCTGCGACAAGATAATCATTGCCACAACCTGTGGAATAGGAAGCAGCACGTGGGTATGTTTTTTTGCTTGGTTCTGGGTATATTTTCAGTCGCGTAAAACCTTGCAGCTGAATGCTTAATACTATTTCCGTATTCTTTGGAGGGAGTACGTTCAGTCGACTTTTTTTTTTCCACGAGGTGGACACTTTGCCCTTTGAATGTTTCGATACTTTTTTTTTTTGTGAGGTACTGAGTTAAGTGGTCGCCCTCGGCGGTGTGTTTCTGGCCGCGCGCACGAAATGGGATGATAGCGCGTTGTTTGACATGCATGATCGCATTCCGATCAGGGAGCAGGGGGGCTTTTGGAGTTCCAGTTGAGGAGACAGTTTGCATACGGTACGATTGTTTTCTGGAGTTTGAAGCCTTGTGTGTTACGTGTTTACGTGTTTCTGGTTTGTATCGCATGTTACGCTGCTCTTGCATCGAAAATCATGGGGGGGGATGTCATGTATGATTCTAGAGGGCATGAGGAGCAATCGAATTGGTTTGTTTTCTGGTCGCGCCTACTTGTGTGTTAGGTGAACGGCAATGCAAGGGGGCTGTTGGCATCGAAATATTAGCTCGGGGTGAATTTTGGGAGCTGACAGCAGGGGGGCTGTTTGCGTGGATGCTTGCTTATTATGTTTTCTGTCGTTTCTTGGACAAAAGCGACGGTACCGATTAGCGAGTGCGCGCTGTTTACGATTTGGTCCTTGGACACTATATTGGAGGAAGGGTTTGACATGTTTTGACGATGAATGGTTGGGACCGTTGTGCTTTCCGAATTCTCGTTTTGATTCGTCAAGCAGTTGAGTATTGTTTTGTTTGAGGATGATTTGTTGCCCACTTTTTTTTTAAAGTTTTTTTCCAGAAGTGCCCGTTTTCGTTCTGACGCTTTTTTTGTAGCACAAATAATTTTGTTGGGCACTCTTCTGAAGATGATTCTTTTGTGCCAACGGTTTGAGATTATTTCCATCCAGAGACAAACGCGTTGGATTCGTGAATAAACTGATGGAAACGCGTTGTGTTGAATGCGTCGCCATTTTTTTGTTGAATATGTTTTCTCAAGAGGTGTTTTCGCTGACTACGCGTGAAGGGCTGCAAGATCGTACATCGTATCAAGTAAAGGGGCTGTTTGTGGTACTTGGATGTGAGTCCGATCTGTGCATCCTCTGTGGGGGATACGCGTATGGGAACTACGTGTGTGATGGGTGTGTACGCGTTTGAGGTCCAAGTGCGGGGCCTCCGGGTGAGCACACGGCGGTGTGCTCGCGGCACTTGCCTGAGGGGCTTGCGAGATGGATAAATATATAATACATGGTCCTTTTTCATCTGCTGTTCCTGGGATAATAAAGTACCCAGTCTCAATATCACAGACCGCTGAGGGCGGCAGTGCACACGAACACCTCAGACAGACGTAAGGGAGCTCTCCTCTTTAAATGTTGGCGATGTGTGTATGTATGGCGTGCTCCAGTGGCCAGGAGGAGGTAGACCACCGTTCGTTGGTGCGATACAACACTTTGTAGTCACGAAATTTCTTAAGGTCGGAGAGGTGTTGAGGAATTGTGACATGTTGTTCGACTCTGTTGCGTGAATTTTTGCAGTGGTGAATGAACGTGGCTGCGTCAACTTGGCTGCGAGGCAACTATTCTCTGCAGATAGATGCTCCAACTCCATGAACGAACTAAACACAAGATGGAAAGCGTTGCCGATACGATCACAATCACCCGGCTTGCTATATGTAAATTCGGGCAATCAGCCCACCACACGTGCTCTACAGTCCACCACATATACATGCTTAGTCTAGACCACACACCTACAAGGTATACTGGTAAGCTGTGCTGTAGTCAAAGTGCCGGTGTTTCTCGTTACAGTGGGGGCTACATTTTTAAGAGAGCTCAGTTTAAGAGAGTTGCCGATTAAAGAGAGAGAGAGAGGTCGAAAATGCTAGACACACCCCCCCGCTCTTAAACCGAACCCCGAATCTCTTAAACCTCTCCCAAACCTCTCTTAAACCGAACCTGCCCCCCCAGCCCCCACCCACTATAGCCCACCAGCTGCCCCCTACTAGCCGGTCGCCCCGGTGGTCTAGTGGTATCCTCGTAATCCACTAGTTGCAGAGGTCGTGAGTTTGAATCCCCATGGGGTGAAAAAATCATTGCGGGTGAAAGCGAAACGTAGCTAAAAAGCTCTCCTCGTGGATACCAAACTTCGACGTTAGCACCGTTGACGAGGGAAAGGGACGGCTGGACCCTTCTCGCGATAAAAATAAAATTCAGCACGCACCGCAGGAGGAAAATGGGGCATGGAAAGAAGAAAAAGAAGAAAAAAGCCCTGGTGTTTACCCCCTCCTATGTGACCCTGAATGGTTGTAGTTGTACGAAAAAATACACCGAAAAGTGCAGTAGTACTCTACATACATAATAATACATACGCTGAAAAGTGTAGTACACGTCTCACCACGAAAAAAATTAAATGGGGGGACTGCTGTCGCCATAATAAATAGGACGAAAACAACACTGCAGCAGCTCAAGCAGCTGTACAGCAGTAGACCATCATAGCTAGCGAGACACACAGCCCCCACGGATGCCTTGCGCCGCGGGTTCACGCTGCCTGGCAACGCCGGACCACACACCCGGCCCCCTACTGTTTACTAACCACCCATGTCGTGTCTGCGGAGGCTGATCGATAATTCGGGTGGCTCAATTCTGTATAAGGGGAGTGTAGAGCAGCTCGGCCATGACGGGCCGTAGGGGTAGGTAAAGACGTGCAGACGTGTTGGAAAACGTGTTGGACAACGTGTTGTATTCATCGGGGGCGTGCTTGAGCTCGTCATTCCATCACGGCATCAAGTCACGCCTAACGCTGAAACACCCGAAACGAATCTCCATGAATGTCCACCAATCTACCACACTCGGTCGCCCCGGTGGTCTAGTGGGTAGCCTCGCAGCCTGCTAAGGGCCAGGTCACGGGTTCGAGTCCCGGCAGGGAGAGTTTTTTTCTCACTAAATAAATCCTGGTCTAGGATGAAAGCGACGCGCTGCAAAGCTCGTTTGTTAGTAAACCATAATCGACTNGTGACCCCGGTTGGGTCGTCTAGCCAGTAGAAGTGGAGGATAGGGGCCAGAGGGGCAGACGGCAGAGTCCAATGATGGGAGAGAAACAAACAAAAAAAAAAAAAACTCCCAAGGAAAAAAAAAAGAAACTTCTTGATCCTGCGTAGGTCGTCACTGCAAATCCCGCATAAGTATACGCAATATACCACCCCCATGCTATGCTACGAGTGTATCGAATAGAGGCTACCTTCATGGACTGTGCGGTGTGCATGACCCGCTCCGCTTGGCGACACGAGATGCACCGTGTTTGCCACGGATGGATGTATCAACTCGAGCAACCGCAAGGAATCAAGCACAGACTCGACTGCTGGGGCTGCATCTTCGAAGCGCCCCTGCCCGGACGGGCGGGCAACAGGGAAGGAGAAGCGAGCGGGTGCACTGGACAGCTTGAAACCCGTTGGCAACACCGCACGTAGGAAAGTTCGTGGCACCAAAAACCGCACTGGGCAGCTTGAAACCCGTTAGCAACACCGCACGTAGGAAAGTTCGTGGCGCCGAAAACCGCAAACGACCGACGCTCGAAGACAAGGTTCGGGCGCTCGACCTTTTGAAGAGCGTGAGCGGCGTAGCAATCGCGAAGGATATGGGGATCGGGGTGAGCACCTTGTACGGACGGGTGGAGAGCTAAGGAAGCGGACATCAGACCACAGGCAGCAGTCTCCATGCCCGGCGCCAAGTCTACGAGGGGGCCTGAGTTTGCGAAGGTGGGTGCTCAGCTATGTTTGCTGTACAGCAGTACACAGCAGAGAACGGCAGTAATTCCGAATGTATTTTGATTTACCATTACTGCTGAACCACTACAGCAGCAGCAGTAGTTTGATTCCGAGTATGTTTGTGGCCGTTTTTGTTCGGCAACCGGCTAGTGTGGCGTAGGTACGCTGTATCATGCCGTGCAGTATTTGCTGTAGGATGAAATGATATCTTTTATGTTCAGCATAGCAGTAACAGCAGTGCACACACTACAGCTGCTAAATCCGTGAATAATATACGTCCTCTTTTCTTCTCCATCCAGGTGGAGCAAGCAGTCATGGAAGCAGATGTTGGTGCTGTTGGTATGCCCTTGTTATGTGACCTCCAGAGTCCAAAGAGTGTTGTTAACGGCATGTATTATCGAAGGGGGACATGAGCGAGAAGAAGGGAGGAAGAGTGCCAGGCCCAAAGCCAGTCGGAAAGGGGGCCCGCAACTCGTATCTCAAGGGCTCTCCTAGCCGCCCCTCAAGGCAATCCCATCTGCGGTACACGAAACCGCCAGTGATTTGGTACAATCCGACTAATCTACCTCCACGCACGAACACCCTCCCTTGGTGCTTTACGCCAGTGAATAACCACCACTCGTGCGTCGAAGAGTACATCCGAAAAGCACCTAAAACAACGCAAATCAGAAACAAGGGGAAACCCGCCATCGGATCAAAACCCCTTACAAATCTCAAGGCCTTTACGCCGTTCATATCACGAAAGATTCCAACGACCGTACTGCAACATCAAGGCAAGACAATATCTACGACCGCCCCCGGCTCGCTCTCTACGCCACGCTCGGCTGACTCGACAAGGTCCTCCCTGCGCAGCACAAAAACAAATCATCAACCACGCCCCTA